TTCACGACCTCGGTGTAGAGAATGATTTTTTTAACTCAGAAAGTGAGATAAATATAGGAAAATGCTGATAAATACAACCACTGTGTTTGTTTTCTATTACTGCACCATAAATTCAGCAGAGCTTAAAAGCACGCCCATTTGTTGGCTCACAGATGAGTTGCCCAGAAACCCACGCACGGCATGGCTGGGTTCCCTGCTCAGGGTTTCACAGGCCGAAAGCAAGGGATGGACTGGGCTGTGGTCTCTGGGTCCTCTTCCGAGCTCACGGAGTTGTGGCAGATTTAGCTCCTTGAGGTTGTAAGACTGAGGTCCTTGGGTCCTCAGTGGCGGTCCATCAAGATCTATTAGTTTCCTGGAGACCACCTGCATTGCCATGGAGCCCCTCCATCTTCAAAGCCAGCAATGGTACATCAAATCTCCCATGCTTCGAATCTCTGACCTTTTCCGTTTCTGATCTCTAGACTCAGGCTTGAAGGGGCCATGTGACTTGGTCAGGCCCAACTGGATAACATCCCACTTGGTTAACTCATACTCAGCTGAGTAGTAATCACAGCCATATCTGCAAAATTCCTTTTCCCACAGACTAGAACATGATCCCCAATGATACCTATCATATTCCATAACTCCAGTGGGGGGACATTATACCAGGGTGATGGGCATGGCGGTCATCTTAGAAGTCTGCCTGCTACGACTGCATTACCATTAATAACTTCTCTCCTGCAAAAGACATTTATAAGAAGGTGGAAAGGCAAGCTACAGAGTGGGATAAACATTTTCCAATATACATAGACGATAAAAGAGTTGTATCTCAAATATATTTTAAAACTCCTACAGATTAATAAGAAAAGACAAAACAGAAAAACAGAAATAAGCATTTCAGAGAAGGAATGCAAAAGAACAAATGTAAGAAAACATGCTCATTATTAATTGGGGAGAAATAAATGAAAAAACCCAGTAATACACCATTTTGCCCCCACCAAATCAGCAAAACTGTAGAAAAGCTGATAGCATCAAGTACTTGCAGTGAATTTGGAGTAATGGGAACTTACACACACTTCCAATGTGAGTTCCCATCGCTGTGATCTCTTGGGATAATGAATTGTAATTAACCGTAAAGTTGAAAATGCACATGGTCTACAACCCAACAATTCCACCCCCTGGGTCATACTTGACAGAAATATATGTGCATGGATGTCCAAAGCAGTAAAAGCCTGGGAACAATAGGAAACAATTCAAATGCCATCCACAGCAGAATGTATAAAGAAATGATAATATATTCATATAATGGATGACTTCAGAGGCAACCATATGGTTCCATTTCATAAAACTGGTGGGGACAACGCAGACGTTGGTTCCAGTCTTCCTTCAAGAAGTCTTTCCGACTCCACTGTCCCTTCCCCTGAACAGAAGTCAGAGGAGGGCAGGTGCTTAGCGATCTGGAGCCTAGCCCACGGTGTCACAAACACAGGCACAAGGGAAGAGGACATCTGTCAGACTTTCCAAGGGCTTCTCTTGATGCCCTCCTCCTTTCCTTCCCAGTGCCCATCTGTAATATTCTCTGCATCTTTCAAGATCCTTGGAGACCATCCTAGTCCACGCACCTGATGAGAAACCTGAAGCTCAGAGAGGTCAAAGGGTGTGCTTGAGGCACACAGGCACAGGGAGGCGGCCCTGGCTCCCTGCGGTCCGTGTCCTCCTTATTGGCAGCATCCAGGGCTAGGTAATATCTCTGTTCATAGCATCCTTGAAGATAGTCCCTTATAACCAGTAGGTGCTCAGCAAATGCCTCCTCCTCCCTCCAGGTCCTTAGCTAACTTTGAACGAGAGCTTTGCAAAACTATTAATTTGATGCTGCTACACAGGAAATGACCAGCAGATGACAGCATTTACCTTTCCCGGCTCCTCACTCTTCCCCAATTGGAAGCACAAGGGGAGAAAAGTTGGCTTTTCCGTTCTCCAGACTCTGCCGTCAGGGCGTCCAGAGTGCCTATTGCTCCCATTTGAGGCTCTCTTCTGCCTACTCCTTTGCTGAAATCAACATATATCTGCAGAAGCTCCAGTTTTAGCCGCAGAAGGAGAGCACAAGGGGTATGCAACCACAACACGAACGCTTTTACTCTCTACGGAGCCTTATGAAATGCTGCGGTACAGTGGGCGGGGGAGGCGGCTTACTCAAGGTTCCCATTTTCATTCGGGGAAACTGAGGCTCAGAGAGGCAAGCCAATGGGCTCAAACTCACACAGCATGGTCCAATTTTCTGATTCCTACTCCAGCGCACCATGTTCATTTTACCACATCCGTTCTCAAAGGCAAAACCTTCCCTGAAGGCATTTTTCAGCTCATATATACAGACAGGAGATCTGAAAGTTAAAAAAATCGTCCAAAATGCTATATGGTGACTAACAAAGGAACAGCACAGAAAAGGTGTGGGGGCTCAGAGGAGCAAACCTTACCCTTTTCAGGGTGGGGGCGTGTGAAGAACTGTGAGGTCAGGGAAGAGCTCCTGGAAAGAGAGGAGCTCTTACTCTTGAAAGCAGTCAAGACGTACAAAAGGAAAGGAGCCGTGGCGCAAGTTGTAGATCAGGATGGCAAATGTGTGGCCTGGGTCTGCTACTCTCCTTGTTATTCCACACCCTCCAGCACCCGTGCCCATGGCAGACATCATTAATCAATTGCGGGACTCCCCCCTGAGCTCAGTGCCTGCCCAGAATCCATTTTAGCACAGGGCTCCAGGCATCCGCTACCAACCCACAGCAGACGGAAGGCAGATGGAGCCTCTTTGTGCCTCCCCACCCTACTCTGTGGCCTCCCTGCTTGCCCACTATCCTTTACTGCGCACTTAACTGGGTGCCTGGAGCTGTGCGGAGTCCTTTACACAAGCCTTCCATTTAATCCACTTGACCACAAAGCCCCAGTTTTACAAATAGGCAAAACTGAGGTATAGAGGTGCTAAAAACCTCCAGGTGGCAGCACCAGGATGCCACCCCGAGCCTGTGTGTCTCCAAAGCCCATGCTCTGAAAGTGCCAGAGAGTTGTGATAAGCCACTGGGGGGGGTCAGGGGGGCTGTAATTGAGGTCAAATTTTCTTTTTTTTTTTTCAACGTTTATTTATTTTTGGGACAGAGAGAGACAGAGCATGAACGGGGGAGGGGCAGAGAGAGAGGGAGACACAGAATCGGAAACAGGCTCCAGGCTCTGAGCCATCAGCCCAGAGCCTGACGCGGGGCTCGAACTCACAGACCGCGAGATCGTGACCTGGCTGAAGTCGGACGCTTAACCGACTGCGCCACCCAGGCGCCCCTTGAGGTCAAATTTTCTGATGGGAAGGTAATGACAAGACTAACTGGTCTGCAGTGGACACTGAGTCCCACAAAACACAGGGCATCGGAGATGCTTTGTTTGTTCATGCATTCCTGGGACATGTATTTATTAAGCACCTACTATATGCCAGATACCTTCTATGCTGGGAGCAGAGCGGTTAACAAATGTAACAAGACACCTCACCCTCACTAGGGGAAGTCTAACAAATGAGTGAATCGGCCTATTTGTCAGGTGCTGTGGGGAAAAATAAAGGGTGGCGAGGGCCATAAAGAGCTATAAGGGCTTTCCAGTCTGGGAGATAAGGGATGGCCTGAGGGCCTGAACTGTTTGGAGCGACTGAGGCAAATCAAAATAAAGCCTTAAAGATAAGATGGATCCTGATGCTCTCTAGGCAAATAATGGTGGTGAAGAGTAAGCGTGGGGAGGAGAGATGAGGGCCTTCCAGCAACATGTGGAGCTCCTAAGGCCTTCTTCACTCTACCAAAGGTGATGTGGCTGGGGGAAGGGCAGCCTTATTCAGAACACACAGGCTCCTGGGCCCCCTTCTGGTTCTGCTAGGTGTGGGATGGAGGCAGGGTTCCATTCATGCATCATACATTTGAGACCCTAATGGAATCGATTTCATTCTTTGGACATCTCTGACCACTGCCAACATCCGGCCCTTTTGATGAGGTTGGAGCAGGGCGAGAGATGAATTTTCAGCCTCTGGGCCCTTACTCTCAGCAGGGCCATGAGTGGGAACTTAGCGTGCCACGAACAGTAGAAAGTATGGAAACTGGTGTCTGTCACTCCCAACAAGTAGCTTGGTGTTTAGTTGGTGGAGGAAAATGACTGGCCTTGAGTCTGTGTAGTAACCCAGGAAGCCTGATGTTCAGAGCACAGTGCCCCCTGTGTGCCCAAGCTGACAGATTAGCTAGGGGTTGGGGGAAATGAATATGCAAATAAAAAAAAAAAAAAAAGGCCTTGCCCTGCTGGAGTCTTCAGGTCTCCCTTGGGTGCATGACCAATACAGAAGGGAATGGAGAAGGAGGAAGAAATGTCACCCTCCATAACTAGGACAGGGTTTTGGAAGTCTCTTGGTTGATTCTTTCATGCCACCGTTCCCCACCTCCCCTGGAGAGTTAGTTCAGTGCTTCATGGAGGCTTTCTTGTGGCTGTGGGGAACCATGAGTGGTGTTCTTCACTTAGGATCTGTGAACGTTCTAGAAGTATCCGCCCCCCACCCCCACCCCACCAAGCAGGGTGGATTAGTACACATATATGCACATGCATGAACATATGTATCCACACGTATGTGTTTCCAACTTTCTTCAAATGCCGCTGGTTATCAACTTACTACTTTTCAGCTCCAAATTCACCCAAGAATATGTGCTGTGTGATAACGGGCAGAATCCTCATAAGCATCTTTCCTTTACAGTGAGCATAAAACATTATGCTGGGAGAACTCTGCAGAAGGGGCTTCGGCTGCTGGTTTTGGCAAGTGTAGGACATCCTATGGTGCCCTTCCCCGGCTACTTGCCCAGGAGGTCCCCCAGAGACCTTAGAGTCCTGTCCAGCCTGGTGATCACCTTCCCATGACCCTCCCGACACTGACACTGTGTGTTCCGTGCTGCCCATCTAACACTGCTGCCTGACTCCTTCTACATGTCCGCAGCCCCACCTTCCAGGTTGTGACTCACCTGTGCTCCCGCAGATTGCTTCATCCTTATCTGGCAACCAAAGAGCAGTTGCGGCCAATGCACCGGGAAATTTCTCCGCCGTCCAAGGGGCTGCCACGAATCTTTCTCCAATAAGGCCTGATCCACAGTTTGGAGAGGTGGACCCCTTCCGAGGTTGTCCTTCCTTGGGAAGCCTTCCTCAACTGTAGGGAGAGTAGCCCTGTAAGGCTCTCTTTACATCCTATAGTTACTCTTTCATCATCACGTAATATTCTTTATATTACACGTCCATTGCTTAAACCCCTATGTGGTTTCTGTCTCCTGACTGGACCCAGACTGATACAGCACTGGTGGCTCCCAAAAGATCCACCACACCTAGTCCCAGGTAAAACAAAAATATAGAACTCTTAGCTCATTGTTGAGCACAGAGAAAATAATAAATCTAAGGGGCTATGTTACCAATGTATGTTAGAGATGGACATCAGTTCCCCTGTTACCAAAGTGCTGGCAGCTCTGGGGACTCTCTCTTAGGCATTTCCTCCTGCCTGCTTGACTTGAGCAACATTCTCTCCCGGGGCGGCAGTAAAGTAAGAAATTAGAGCAATCATTTATAGACCACACACTTCATATTAAATGGTGTGTTAAGAGTTTGATATGTACAGGGGCGCACCTGGGTGGCTCAGTTGGTTAAGCATCCAACTTCGCCTCACGTCGTGATCTCATGGTTGGTGAGTTCGAGCCTCTGTGCTGATAGCTCAGAGCATAGAGCCTGCTTTGGATTCTGTGTCTCCCTCTCTCTCTGCCCCTCCCCTGCTTGCTCTCTCTCTCTCTCTCTCTCAAAAATAAATAAATATTAAAAAATTAAAAAAAAAGAGTTTTATATGTAATATTTGTCCCATTTGGAGACAGAAAAAGATTAAGGACTAAAGAAGTTAGAAAGTTGCCCAAGGTTTCATAGCTGGCTCAGGAAGAGCTGGAATTTGAACCCCAGTATATCCTATTCCAAAGCCCAAACTCTTAACCACCATGATGCATTTCTTCATAGCAAACATCTACTGTTGCATCAAGCTCTGTGGCAGATGATTCACAGTAGTTACATAATGTGTCTCCGTAACAACTGTGTTTGGCAAGCAGCGTTTTCGTTCCTACCTTACAGATGACGAGACTAGATTTCTTACCCACGGCCACTCAGCTATTGAGCATGGAGGCAGAATTTGAAATTGGCCCTCTGACTCCAGAGCTATACTTTCAACATCTACGGTTCCCTGGCTCCCATAACAGAAGCAAACACTGGAATCTAGATCTGGAGACCGAGGTGGGTGAAGCATTGGAAAGCAATTGGCCCCTAACTTCCCATATGGTGCCCATTTGTTTCCAACCATGCCATGTGTGATAAAAGATAGAAAGCTGGTGAGGGAAGAGGGTAGAGAGCTAGATGGGTCTCTCTCCCCATGTCATCCCCCCACTATACCTGATCCTAACCCCAACCCTACATGAGAGGGATAATCTGCAGGCACTTCTATAAGATGGTTTGGAGAGACCTATGTTGGTCTCCAACCCTTGTCCAGGGGGGGGATTCCCTGACACTCAACATGGCAGGCACATCCTCCAGAGAACCTTGCCAACACCCGTGCTCTGATTCCATTTCACCAACTATGCCAATGTGAGTGATTAGTCCCCTTTGTACAGTCTCACGCATGTTTATCAACCTAGCTGTAAGACCTAGCAGCAGAGGGAGATGTGACCTATTATAAGGGGAGGGAAATATGACCTATTATAAGATCCAGAGTATTTGCAAGTTGCTAAAAAAAAAAAATGCAACTATTCCATAATTCCAGATACATGAGACCAGTTAGTGCATTCAATTCTACAAATGGTCCTCATGGAGAGGCCACTGTGGGCATGAGAAGCAATGTGCTCAACAGCATCCCTATAACAGACAACGGATCAATGTTCAAAGCCATATTTTGCATAATGTCCCTCAGTAGAGGTTGAGGGCCATTGACCCAAACACAATCCACTAAAAGTCGGTCGTCAAGAAGCCAAGAGAGGCAGTCAAGCACACAAGTCTGATGCTCTGGCTGAATTGGTGATATATTTAAGAACATGTGTCTAGAGACTGAATAAAATACATATTTTGTAGGCACTCATCCACAAACAGCATTTCTTTTAACCAAGCTTTTTAAAAAAGTCCATTGTGGCCATGAGGTTGAGATTCTACTTGGAATGTTGGTACTTTCCATTGCCATTTAAGACATGAGCCACATGCCTTCATAATAAATGGAGCTGGAACTTCGATTCAAGCCTCTTATGAAAACTCAGGTGCCAGCAAGAGTGTGTTCCTCAAGCAAAGGCCAACACACATCCCCTCCAAAGTGTGTCCTCAAGGCAGTCCTTGCTGGCAGAGCCACGAGCTGCTTTAGGAGAAACTGAGAGTTCCCTAACAATGCAACAAGTGAGTAATTGAGGCCCCGCAGTTCCACATCATAACGTGTGTTGGCAATAAAACTCAGCCTGGAGAAACTGTACAGGAGATGGGTAACCATACACCGTATTTGGCGACACATATAAAAACCTGCAGCACATTTCGTTTTGAACAACAGACCCTGCTAGTTAAACTGGTTGTGAAATGCACTCCCAAGGTAACTAAACGAGTTAACTTACTATTAATAATTCTTTTCTATAAACCCCCTAAGGTTGGAGGGTATCTATTAAAATGATTGTTTCAGATCCAAAATCAGTAGCCCTTGTATTTGGAGGTAATAAGATAGCGGTATCGATTGCCTATTAAGACCATTCCGAGTTCATGATGTCAAAAGCAGATAATTTGCATCCCAGAGAACGCTTAGCTTTCTGTTGTCAAGTACAGAGCACGATGGCACAGTACTACCACATTTAACAACCTGTATGGCACGGATGCCGACCCTTCGGAACCCACACTGGCAGGCGGGCTGCACCGAGCTCGGTAGTAAAACATACCTCTAACCCATCTAAAAGTGGTATCAGGTGGTTAACGGTAAAGTTAAAAGTTAAAGAAGCCATCTTTGATCCAGCTTTGTTTTACCCACCTGGCAATTACAAATAGCATAGTCCTTATTTTCCCCTATATATCATGTCAAAGTCTGGAAAAGGATCAGCAAAAGTCACGAACCATTTAATATAACTTTTGGCAGATTTTGCCACCACACCCTACAAATTATAGCAGATGACTGTGCTCACAGGCTGTGAGCTGGGCAAGTGGGCCAGGCTTGCAGATTATTAAGCAAAAGCCAAGCATATGGATCTCGCTTATACATGTGGAGTAGGGTGACCAGCTCATCCTGGCTTGCCAGACACCTTCCAGTTTTAGTAAGGAATGTCCCATGTCCTGGGAAACCCCTTGGTCCCTGGCAAACCAGGACGGTTGGTCACCCTCTTCAGAGGCCTTCCTCCCAGGATGGTGATCCTAGGCTGGACATTCGCATTTAGGGATGAGGCACACGATGGTAAATGGAATCTGCATGGCTGTAGGGCTTGTTGACCAATGGTGTTCACTGGAGGGTGTTTAAGCATCAATCAGCCTTTGCATTGAGGGAATCAGTAAATATCAGCCACTGGAGGACATTTGTCTGGGCGGCTCATTTTCTCCCCAGGGGAATCCTTCAGTTCCCTGTTCGCGGATTGCCTACTTCTTGGAGACTAGGGTCCCAGCGTTCAATATGCAGATTTTTGTTGGATCCTTGTTTAGCCCCATACTCTACTTCCTCCTCACAAATTCATTGTGCCTTACATGTCCCATTTTGTAGTCCCCACAGTTCAATTTATATGACAAATGAGTCCCCTTTCTCCATAGGTGGGGGGAACCTCTGCTGAAGGGGGCAGGGAAAATGAGTAGGGTTTCTGCCTATGTCCCTGTTCCCATACTCATTGCAGCCTCATACTCTAGCTTACATCTGTAAGGCTAAGCCTGGCTGAGATTCTGGGGGTGGGTGGGGAGAATCAGCTGACTTCTTGATTTCTCCCTCTAGTGCACCCAAGTTAAAGCATCCTCCATTCTATCGAATCAGTTAGCACTCCTCCATATAATTTCTGTCTTCAAAAAGTGTGTTGAAATTTTGTCTACCATTTTCTTCTCTCTTGTTCCTTTTGTTTTTGCAGGTTTCCTCTATTGCCATGGTGTTGGGATTTGGGGAGGGAGAGGAAATAAACTTGTGTTGCCAATCAACCACATTTCACTGGACATCCATTGCTCTAGTCTCTTTCTGCAACACTTAATGGATGGATCATGGCCCTTCTGGAACTATCTTCCACGTCTGTTATCTTTTCTCCATTCTATTTATTAATCCCTTTCTGTTTTCAGGGAAAATTGCTTCGTCCAATCTGCTAGTTCATTCGTTCTTCAGCTGCATATGTTCTACTACTCATCCACTTGGCATGGTTTTCTTTCTTTAATTATAAATATATTTTTGGAGATGCCTGGGTGGTTCAGTCAGTTAAACGTCCAACTTCGGCTCAGGTCATGATCTCACGGTTCATGGGTTCGAGCCCCATGTTGGACTCTGTGCCGAAAGCTCAGAGCCTGGAGCCTGCTTCAGATCCTGGGTCTCCCTCTCTCTCTGCCCCTCCCCCACTCACGTTGTCTCTCCTCAAAAATAAATAAACATTAAAAAAAATTTTTTTAAATAAATATATTTTTCATTTCCAACATCTCTAATTGGTTCTTTTTCATCTTCTCTTATTTGAGAAAATTAGTTATACTTACTTCAAAGCTCAGTACCAGTTGTCCTATTTGCTTTTTTTAATCTTTGACTCTGGAGGCAGGAAGAATTGTATGGCTGTATGGCTGTAAAGCTGTATGGCTTTGCAGGAAGTTACTTAATCACTTACACCTTAGCTTACCCCTTTGTAAAATGGGATAAAAATAGTCTTACCCTAAAAGATTTTTGGTAGGGTTAAAGTTTTTACATTTTTTTCAATGTTTATTTATTTTTGAGAGAGAGAGAGACAGAGTGCGAGAGGGGAAGGGCCAGGAAGAGAGGGACACCCAGAATCCGAAGCAGGCTCCAGGCTCTGAGCTGTCACCAAAGAGCCCTATGCGGGCTCGAACTCACCGACTGTGAGATCATGACCTGAGCTGAAGTCAGATGCTTCACTGACTGAACCATCCAGGTGTCCCTAAAGTTTAAATACATGTAATATGGGGCACTGTGGCTGACTTAGTCGGTTAAGCATCTGACTCTTGATTTCGGCTCAGGTCATGATCTCACGGTTCATGAGTTTGAGCCCCACGTCAGGCTCTGTTCTGATGGTGCAGAGCCTGCAAGGATTCTCTCTCTCCCTCTCTCTCTCTGTTCCCTCCTCCCAAAGCAAATAAGCTTAAATTTTTTTTTAATAAATATATTCAATATGTTTAGAATAGTGCCTGGCATATAAATGCTCAGTAAACATTAGCAATGATTATGTTTCTTCAGTTATAAATCTTCCTTTCATAGTGTTGGTGCTTCTCAAAGGGTATTTAATTTTTTGGTAGTGAACTCATGTTTGGCCATGAAATTTCCTGCAAAAAAGATCTGTTTGCGTAACTTACTGTGGTGAAGGGGTGAAAGCCACTTTGCAAATGTGTGCACCACACATTCAGAATGTGCAGGATGGGCAGGATGGATCCTTGGGTGGATGCTCTCATACTTGGTCTTTGGAGCTTAGCTGCTACCCTTTCTTCCTTGGCGTTGCCATCCATCTGGGCCTCGTCCTATCTTCACTCCTTCATACCTAGAGACAGATACTCCTGTCACGGCCATCTTGTCTCCAAGGTTGGATTTAAGGAGATGTTGAGGAGTCCACTCATCTAGCTGCTCCCAAGGGGGTGCTTATCTCACCTGCCAATCAATAGCCCGTTAGCTCCTTCTTGTCCCAGGCCTCCCCCACCTCAGGCATGGAGTGTCCTTGTTGGTGCTCCTGCTTCTATAATATATAGTACAGTATACACATTCCAGAATATGAGGTGTAATGTACAGTACAGGATACACACTCCAGAACATAAGCACCGTTTGCTCATGTGCTCGGCTGAAATGTTATATCTCATCCTGTCTACTTTCAGTCTCTCAGAAATTGCTCAGTGCTTCTGCTCCTCTGAACATTCCTTGTCCTCTTTTTTAAAAATACCAATTTTTGTCCTTTCCTCTCATTTTTGGAGTTTGGGGCTGCGGAGAGAGACGAGAGCAGGTGTTCAGTCCACTAGGGTGAAAGAGGAGGTCAGAGAGCTTCTAGAAAAGATGACAGTTAAGCAGAGTCTTGGAGGATAAGCAGGAGCAACCAAAGTGAAAAGTGGAGAGAAGGGTTCTGCAGGCTGAGGGGACAGCATGAGCAAAGGTATGGGGACATGACAGGGCAGGACGGGGAGGATGGATTGTAAGCAAGTCGACATTTTGAGAGAGGCAAGACTTGCATGCATTGCAAAAGGAGAGGCGGGGCATGGGCTGATGGGGCAGGGTAAGAGCTTAACCTCATCCTGGAGAGCTCACGATGGGCCTAAAAGAGTGACACAGTCACATGTGCATCTTATACCGCCCTGGAGGACAGATCTGAAGAGAATGAGACTGGGGCCAGTAAGAGCAGTTAGAAAGGCCCTGCAGGAGTCCAGGTGAGAAACCACAAGGGCCTGGAAACTACAACAGCGGTGCTTAAGGGGCGGAGAGTATGGGTCAGACGCAAAAAAATGCA